TACATTCTCAGTTTCAGCCTCACACAGAACAGAAAACTTGTTGAATGAATGACCTCTCAAGGAGTGAAAGTAGCCACTATTATGTGGAAAACATTTTGACAAACACTACTTATTGTTGACAGTCTCTTTGAAAAGTAAACCAGTTGTGTTAATAACCGTGTTTTACTTGTGCCAATTCTGTTCCAGATACTTAATGCTTATTAGAGGTGATTATTTAATATTTGCAATAAAACAGTAATTATTATATTTTTAAGGGATGAGGAAAAATAAGTTAAAAAAATTTTAAAATGTCCAAGGGACAGACAGTTAATAAAAGGTACATATGGAATTTGAAGAGAGTCACATTGAGTTCACATTACATTCACAAAAACTCAGCAGCATAATCAGTATTTTATTTGCACATTATTTCCAGCTCTTTAAGGAAAAGGCATGTGGTTTGGGGTACCTAATCTGAAGAGATGGTAAAACTAGAGACTGTCAGGTACTTACACAAGGCAAATACAGTCTTAATATATACTAAGGTATATACAATAAAATACTCATGGACCACTGGCTCCCTGTAAGAGCTGCTACTACAGTCTGCATTCCTGTGAGTGTCTTCACCAGTTCTCTTTAGAACTCAGCAAGGCTCTGATCTCATGCGGATCACACACACAGAGCCAGATTCAGATAATTAACATCATGATTTGTTTTTCTACCACCAGAACTTGGTAACTCAATGGTAGCAATAGTTAATGTGGCATTTTATAAGCAACAATGAATTACCCAGGATTAGTGACTAATAATAAATTGGTACAGTTATACCCACTACAAAAAAATAAAAAGGTCTACACAAATAGGAATTCCTCCACAGAATGAAAAGAGAAAGTTTGAAGAAGGTTATACAAAACAATGGAATGGAATGGACCAATCAGGAAGACAGATCTTTCTTTTTTTCACTCTTCCTCAGCTCTGTAGCTTGGTTCCAGAGTCTCTTTTCCCACTGGACAATGTGGCTTCCATTGCAGCAATATAGCTCTCTTCTGTACCCTCCCACTCCAATTAAAGGAGCAACTTGTCCTGATTCTGCCTTATCTTTCCTGATTTTAGTACCAAAAAGCCTGCATCCTGCACTTAGGCTTCCCTTTATTCTAATTTTGCTGAGCAACATAAAGGGTCTCCTAAGGTCTGCATCCCTAGCCCCAGAATCTGTGAATATTTTACCTTAAGTAGCAAAAGAGACTTTGCAAACACAATTGAGTTAAGGATCCTGAGATGAGTTAAAGATCTTTATGTCGCGAGCCGGCGACGCAGAGCACTGTCCAGCAGTGTCTCAAACCTGAAAGAGCAGCGGGGTGGAGATGGGGCAGAGAGAAAGGAAGGACGCCAAGACAAGAGTCTGATCAAGGCGGCGTTTATTGCCGGCAAGCACCGGCCTTTTAAAGCAAAAAACCACAAACTATTATGGGATGGGTTTACCATAGTAACTGAAAGGTCACACAGGAAAAGAGCAAGCAGGTTCACCAAAACAACCCACTGTGAGTAGTAGTAACCCGGACAACCACACATCTAAAGGTCAGAGACAAGAAACTGTAACTTTTAGGAATTCCACAAAGGAAACACTCTACCTGCTAAACTGGAGAAACTTAACACATATGGGGTTACTAGAGTTAACAATACTTACAACCAATACTCATGATCCCCACATCTTTAGGTATAACCTAAAGATTAAACTGGATTTTCCAGGTGCACCCTATCAAATTACACAGTTTCTTATAATTGGAGAGCCTTTCCTGGCTGTGGTCAGAGGGACATGGGCCTATGAAAGACAGTCCACAGAGATGTTGCCACTGCTCGCTTTAAAGATGGAGGATAATGGCCTTCAGAAACTGGAAAGGCAAAGAAATAGGTACTCTCCTATAGTATGCAGAAAGCACCACATTCTCACTGACCCTTTAATTTTAGCTTAGGGAGATCTGAATTGGATTTTTGACCTATAGAACTGTAAGATCACAAATACTGCATGTTGTTTTGATCTATGCAATTTATGGCAATTTACCATTATACCAATAGAAAACTAGTCCAATAACTAACTCATTCTGATTTTTTTTTCCAGGACTGTTCTAACCCTTAAACTGTACACTCATATCTGGCCAAACACTGTAGACAGGTCAGGACTATTGGTCACCCTACCCCTAGTTCTTATTTTCTAGCATGGGCTGTAGAATTTTCCATTGGTATCCAGCTATACGTCAGCTGAAACAACTTGGCTACTCAATTTCCTAAAGGTTGGTTCTCTAGGCTTTGGAATCATCTGAATCCCCTGGAAGTCTTGTTAAAATATTGGTAGGTCTACTCCAAAACTTCTGATTCAAAAGATCAGAAAATAACCCTGAAAGCTGGTCTAGGAACCATACTTTTGAACTGAGATAAAAACCTCTGGCACCTTGAATAGAATTGTATTTGTCCATATACATCCCGAGCATAGATAGAAATAAGGTGGGTTTTGGGCCAAGTGACAATTATGAGACCTTATGTATTAACACAACTCTGAAGTTTTCATCCTGATGTACTAGAGCACTTGAAAGAAAACACTGTGAGGTACCAGTAAATGTTCTGATTCCATTCCTGCCTTTTATAAACTTCTGGACCTTGAGTAAGCAACTTATTATTTCAAGTCTCAGAACTGAAGCTAATGCATATAAAATAGCATGGTGTTTGGCATATGACATATGCTCAATAAGTGATAGCTATGCAAGAAGAGTTTCTACAATATCATTCACAGAGCTCATACAACCTGAGAATATAGATGGGAAAGGTGAACATCTGCCTTCCAACCTTGGTATAAGAATTAAAGTCTTGGTTATATTACTCAAGATCAGCTCTAGTCCCACCATATTTCAACAGTATTGATTTCTTGAATTGCCTTGATGTTTTAAAAATATAAACAATTTTTAAGCATATCTCTTGTACAAATGGTAACAAATTCTATAGTTCCTTCTATTTTGTATTCATTCATTCAATTATTTATTCAACAAATGCATATTAAGGTCCTACACAGTGATCTAGACATCATTATATGATTTGGCATTAGAGCAGAAAAGAAAACAGAAAAGATCCTTGTTTTCATAAAATTTACATTCTAGAGAAGAAGATGAAAAGAGGAAAGAGGAAACTGAAAAATTTAGTAGTTATAAGCATTAAGACAAAACACTGATGGGGGTTGCTTTATAATGCATATGTGGTCAGAGATATACTCTCTAATAAATTGAGATGAGTTAAGATCTAAATAACCAGGGAAAGTAGAATGTCCAAGGCCCTGGATTTGACACAGGGCCACAAACTACCACCACCACCTCCACCACCACCACCACCATCACCATCATCATCATCATCATCATCATCAAAAAACGAATTGAAAATTCTTCCCAGGATTTTTCTCTTTGAAATTTATAGGAAAGACCTCATGTTTTTCACAAGTGATAAAACTTTAAAGATGAAATTCTAAAGCAGCCTCATAAAAAGAGTAAGACTCAATTAGAGGGAAAAAGGAAGAAGTGCGATGAGAAGAAATCAAGGGTGGAGAGGCAAATAGATACTTGAGACTCTAGTTTCCCTAGATCAAGGACTTGTGGATCAACTCTGTGTCAACATTTTCATTCACCGAACAACAAAACCCACATGGTTGACATAGCTTTAGCTGGACTTTTGTCATTTCACACAGAGTTCTGTTACATGACCCATGGCTCCATCTGAAACCTGGGTGTTTCCCCATTTCTTAGCTTCCTTTTTGGTTCTTGCCTACAGTCTCCTCAGACAGCTAACTCTGGAGTCTACTATTAGGAGCAATGACAAGATAATATATACAAAGCATTTGATTTCCTTGGAAGACAGGTAGGAGCAAAATACAAAGTAGGATTAATTATTGATTATCTGTGGAAATGAGAAATGGAGAAGCAAAGATGCATAGTTTTCCTCTGGCACATTTTACATCTGCCTCATATTATAGTAATTTTCTCAATCAGACTATAACCTCCTCACAAAGACGGGGTTTGCCTTGTGAACTATTACAGCACCAGTAATCCCTGGCAAACAGGAGGCTTTCAAAAGATGTTGAGTAAGTGAATGTTAAATGAATTATTGGAATCCATGGCTAATTACAGATCAACATTTACCTCTGTGTGGAATAAAGAATGAGGAAGAATGCAGACAGTGTGATTTTATGAAATGAGAATAGGATTTGGGCTCCAATATGAGTACTTCCATCAATTAGTTTTGTAAACTTAGGTCGAGACTAATGTATTCGATACACTTTTTAGTATAAATAACAGGAACCTCCATATCCACTTGATACTGTTGTGTCAAGAATTTAGTGTAATAATGCCTGGAGCTGCTGAACAAGTGAAAATACAGTTATTAGTAGAATACTAAAGCTTGAAGTCATGCCCTCGGTAACTCTGTTTGTTTCCCCGTAGTGGATCGGGTTACTTCTCTGAACTGTCTGGATCAAATACTTCCCCTTAAGCATTTTGGAATAAACTGCCTTAAAAGCAGAAAATATATTGCTTCATACAGTGTTTTCCTTTATTTTTAAAAAACTACCATTAAAGAAACATAGTAGGCCAAATAAGAAAAAAAGACTTCACACTTACTGTACTGCAAGTGGGCATATCTCCTGTCTGATCAGGCATTGAAGATGCCTGCTGCTTTCCTTCGCTATTCTTTGCAAGGAATTTTTCTGAAAATAAGTTGGTGTTATTGTGGTTGCTGTTTTCCATCAAAGACCCTTGATGCAACATGGCAAACATTTTTAAAATATATTGCTCAGATAAAAAAATGCATAGGAACAAATTAATTTGTAGGTCTAACTAAAAAAATGGGAGTGACAGCACGAATAATTTAGCCATAAATTCCTCACTATGCCCAGCAAATTTCAAGCCATCCAGCTTTTTGCTTCCCTCTGTCTTCAGTGATGAATGCTCCTTACAACTGTCAAATCACATAAATTTTTACCTGGTTTAATTTCTAGGAACTCTTGATAGTTCTTAGGTGGAAACTTCATGACCTCGGTAGGTAAGTGGGTAAGGGATGGAGGGCTTCCAGTAGCCAGGTATGGAGGGATAGCTCCTGAAAAATAATCATGTGTCAGTGGAAGTTAGCATTTCCAACAAAGCATTTTTCCTCTACCCCATTATGGTAAAAAGAATTCACTGTTGTGGTACATAAGATCCTAATGGCATAATTGACAATGCGAAATAGGAAGAAAAGGACTAAAGGTGTAGGGAAAGTGGGAAGGGTAGAGGAAAGGAAATAAGAGAAAAGAAAAAAAAATGAGAAAATGAAAAAATGGAAACGAAGTGTTTGTAAAGGGGGAGAGGAGGAGGGGGTGAAGGGAGGGCAGGGACAAGGGGAAAAATGAGAACCGAGACCTGTCATGTAAAGGTACAAAATCCCAACAATGAATGCAACTGTACTGTATACCTAAAATGTACCAATAAACTCAATGAGAGAAAAAAAAAAGAATTTACTGTTTTCAGCCTTGAATTGGCACAGAAAGCCTCCTAATACACTCTTAGTGCCCCAGTACTAGTAGGCTTCAGGAGAGGAAGGAACAAACACTTTCATAGATTTATTCCGGATGAAATTGGAAAGAAGTCTTTGGTTCCTACTTCTAGGTCAAGTCTCCAAAAGTCCATGTCCCATGAATGAACAAAAACAGTTTCCTTGCTGCCTAGTTTTCCTTTTGTCTTCATAACAATTTTTTATGAAATGTGCCATTTATCTCAAGCCTAGTTCCCTTCCGTGCTGCAGATACAGACATAATTACTTGAAAGAGTTTATGAGCTACAGCAGTGAAGAAGAGCCTTTCTCACAGTAGGCAGTTTTATGACCCAAGCCACCATTTGGCGCAAGGATTATGGCACAAGTGGTTCAATCTTACCAAAAGGGGCTTATCCATAGTGCAGTGGGTGGACACCATTCCCTTGCAGTTTTGTGGCTTACACTTCACAGGCTCCCACAGCTCTATTGCTGTCTTCTGGATACCCAGTCACCAAGTGTCTACTTGCCTGCTATAATCTGCCCACTTGCTTAGGTTACTTACCCCTTCAAATCCTTTTTCTTATTTCTTCTGTTCCCTGGGCCCCACTATTTTCTAAGATAAAGGCAATTGAACTTATAAATCAAGGCTATTACTCCTCTAGAGGGGGCATATTCATATTTTAATGAGTAGATTATGGGGAATTAGCTTCTGAATACAAAATTATAAATAGTTCCTTTTTTAACAAGTTTGCACTACATCATGTTTACATTTCTTGTGTGGAGTTTGTACATGTACATAACATCTCAATTTATTCTTTCATCTCCTTTCCCTTTGAAAAAAGAAGAGGATCAAGAGATGGGGGGAGAATAGGGAAGGGAGGGAAATGAGATGAAAAAAGAAAATGAGATGTCTTATGTACATATCCCAAAAGTAATAAAAACAGTATGTACTACACATATGTACTAATAAAATAAAAAATTTAAATTATAAATAGTGCATTTAATAGACACTAGGTACAAGAGCACTTTATAGTCTTTATTTCTATTCTATATTATAATCATATAAAGGATGTATCATATTTGTCATTTTACAGGATGGGAAAAGTGTAGCAATTTTCCTAAGGTCCTACATCTGTTAATAACAAACCTAGAATATGACTCTGGGTTTATCTGCTTCAATCTGACTGTTTTTAATGTCTTTATAAAAACTCAACAATTTGATCTCCTATAAATAACAAATAACAATCATAGAGTACTTTCAATGCTCTAAAGAAAAGCCACTTATGGGTGTTAGAAAAACTGGATCTCAACCTGCCAAAGATTAAAACTAGACCCTTATCTTTCACCATGCACTAAATTAAAATCCAAGTGGATTAAAAATCTAAATATTAAAACAGAAACACTAAACTTGCTGGAAGATAAGTTAAGCAGAACTCTTGAAGACACTGGCATAGGAAAAGATTTTATGAACAAATCCTCAGTAGCATGGAAACTAGCAGAAAAAATCAACAACTGGGATCTCTTCTTATTAAAAAAGCTTCTGCACTGCAAAAGAAACCATCAACAGAACTAAGAGACAACCTACAATGTGGGAAAAAATTTTTACCAGCTGCTCTTCAGACAAAGGACTATTATCTAGAATATATAAAGAATTCAAAACAATCAGCTCCCCCAAATATAAAGACCCGATTCAAAAATGGGCATCTGAAATGAACACACATTTCTCAGATAAAGAAGTAAAAACAGCAAGTAAATATATGAAAAAATGTTCCACATCACTGGTCATTCGAGAGATGCAGATGAAAACAACACTGAGATTCCACCTCACCCCACAAAGAATGGCTTCTATCAAGAAATCACACAATAACAAATGTTGGTGGGGTTGTGGGGAGAAAGGAACCCTTCTCCATTGTTGGTGGGAGTGCAGACTGGTGCAACTACTATGGATATCAATATGGAGATACCTCAAGGAGCTGGGACTAGAGGTTCCATTGACCCAGGCATCCCTCTGCTAGGTATCTTTCCAAAGGAATTAAAAGAATCATATCACAGTGATATATGTGCACCTATGTTTATAGCAGCACAGTTTGTAATAGCTAAAACTTGGAAACAGCCCATTTGCGTATCATTGGAAACTGGATAAAGAAGATGTGATTTTTCTATAAAATGGAATACTACTCAGCCATAAAGAATGAGAAATTAGATTCATTTGTAGGAAAATGGATACATATTGAGGATATACTCCTAAGTGAAATAAATAAGTCACACATGTGTAAATACCAAATAGTTTCTCTGGTGTGAATAAACTAAAATAGTACATAAGATCCTAATGATTTATTGGACTATGTGAAATAGGAAGAAAGGGGCTAAAGGTGTAGGGAAAGTGGGAAGGGTAGGGGAAAGCAAATAAGGGAAAAGAAAAAAATATGAGAAAATGAAAAAATGGAAAGGAAGTGTTTGTAAAGGGGGAGGGAGGTGGGGTGAGGGAGGGCAGGAACAAGGGGAAATAATGAGAACCAAGACCTGTCATGTAAAAGATACAAGATCCCAATAATGAATGAAACTGTACTGTATGCCTAAAATGTACCAAACTCAATGAGGAAAAAAAATGCCATTTATGGACAACAGGACTCAATATCCTTCACACAACACCAGGTCACATTTTCCCTTCTTTCAATCCTCGGATAGGCAGATCTAAAGGGGCCTCTTGATTTTAGTTCTTTTCAGATCTTCAACCTAAGGTTTTTCTGCTTTCTCCAGTTCAGGAGTAGGTATCTGAAAGGACAATTCATAAAAACAAAAAAGTGCCCTGGGAAGGAGATAAGGAGAGTTCCATTAAAGCTGATGGGCCAAAGGTATATGACCATAGTAATGGCTATGGAGCCCCCCCAAAATCCCAACTTGTTCTACTAAGAAAAGCAGGATAAGACTCTTAGAATATAGACTCAGTAAATAATCAGGAGAATGGGGTGAACCAAGGAAAGTAGGGCAGTGTTTTCAGAAATGATTAGTCTTTAAGTCATGATTAAAGCTGAACAAAGTTGGAAGTTGTCTATTTGGGCAACTGTATATCTTTTTATTGTGAACGTAGATTCTTATTTTCCTAGTAAAATGGAGTTTATTTTACCCCATATAACAAATACAAAGGTTGATAATATATTCTGAAGACAATATTATCCAGAAAAATTATAGGGTAAGAAGAGGATTGTATCCCAAAGGCAAAGCTATACAAAAACCCCAAATACCTTGGATCGTTATATTAATATGGTTAAATAAGAGGCACATCCTGACTAGTCCCCTTCTATCTTCTCATCCTACATACACACACACACACACACACACACACACACACACACACACACACTCCTCTTAATCTCACCCTCAAGTGGAATTCCTTTTCCATGTAAATTCCTTTGTTTGATAGCCATAAGGATACCCTAAAAAACACAGCCTTTGTTCTTTAAGAGGCTTTGGCTGGCCAAATTTCCTAGTCCTGCAGAATCGGAGAGCTGAAAGTAAAAAAGACTTTCAGTTGAACTGCATTTAAATTATTTTGAATTCTTGCAAGTCTTTCAAAATCAAATCTTTTAAAATCCTGGGTCCCCTAGCAATCTGTGCAGCTAAAATTAGTCACTAACATTCTGGGACCAGATGTACTATTGACCATCTAAAATATAGTATATAGTTTAAACAGTGAGTCTCACAGAGAGATATTATTATTCTTGTTTTAGAATGGGTCAACTGTGGCCTTGAAAAATTAACCCATGGGAAGGGTGGTATAAAGTCTGGCTTCAAACTCAATACCAATATCCATTCCTTTTTATTGCTTTACATGAGAATCTGGTATCTGAATTAGCTTTGTACCACAGTACAAAGCAAACACCCTGTACTTCCCCTAAAACAACAGAGGGTAGAAGCATGACATAGCAACTTGTGTCTTTTCTATACCATCTCTCAATCAACCTGGGAGATTCTGGTCTTTGATAAGTCAAATAAAATGATAACAAGAAGGGCATGAGTGGATGGGGCCTATTTTCTATGGACAATTATAAAAATAGATCTCTGACGCAGGTAGAGATGTCACGTGGAAGATAGTAGCAGATCACTTTTGGAGAGCGAGCACAGTGTTATGGGAGGCAAAAGAAAACCATCTATTGAGTCTTAATTTTGCAATTGATTAAATGTGTGACCTTAGATAAACCATACTCTCTGGTCTCAGCATGTCATCTTTGAAATTGCCCTTGCAGTGCCTAGCTCAAGCCTTATTGTAGGAGTCAATCGAATAACAAATGCAAATCAGTCAGAAAGCCACAAGTGCTCTTGCAAAACGGGCTAATCTAAATCTTAAATTATTCCTAGTTTCATGGAGATGTCCTTTAAGTGAAATTACACATCCCTGTTCTGTCTTCCTTGTTTCACACACTGTGCCATTTTCTCAGAAAGAAAGTCAGTTTCCTGTGGTCAAAGGTTAAATATGATTTTTTTTTGTGATAAATCAGTCAAACAAATGGGCTTAAAAAGTTTCATGGACAAGAAAATAGGATACTGAAGTCCACGGCTAGTGGAGTCTGTGACAGAGTAGCATC